TAACCCAATTAAAGTTTTCCTTTCAAATCAACTCTCAAAATTGTCAAACCTCGACCTCTAAGCGCGAAATGCACCAAGGACATTTATATAGGATGTATGTGTAATTCAGTATCTAAGCTAAACCAAACTTAAGCAAATTATAAATTAAAGCTAGTTCAAACTTGTTGCTACACCTATGGTGTTTACTGTTTAGTAGACTGAAACATCTCTCATTCGACTGAGGTAATTAAATTGCATAGTTTTGGGATTGAAGCCAAATCGTCGTGGGGAAGGCGATGCACTAACTACTGTGCTTGAGCCTTGGTCTGGCCTTATTTTTGCTGTGCTGACAAACTGGGTTAGCCTAGGACAGAAAATCTGGGCTACCACTATCGTTGTTCTAGGCCTGGCCTAAGCCAAGACTCGAGGCAATGCAAACAGTCATGTGAACGTGTCACAATAGACAATTCCCATTATAGACTAATTTTAAAATTAGGCAAGGACACTCAAATAAATCACCACAGCTAGAAAGAGCATACTAAAATTAGTAAAATTACAAAGTTTGGTTGCGAAATGTTGTAAAATGGCGAAAATATAGCCTTGCAAAGTTCGCAAATTTTGTATACTTTTACATTGCTTGCGGAAATTCCTACCACATTCCTACCACATTTAGGCCGAAAATGTCGCACGCAATACAAAAGTATACAAAATTTGCAAACTTTGCAAGGTTGTATTTTCCACATTTTACAACATTTCGTAACCAAATTTTGTAATTTTACTAATTTTAGTATGCTCTTTCTAGCTGTGGTAATTAATTGCATCTCCTTGCCTAGTTTTAAAATTAGTCTATAATGGGAATTGTCTATTGCCTCGGCTTAGCTCAGGCATGGCCGAGAGTCACAGGGGAAGCATGGCTTTTGACTAGCATAAAGTAACAATATAAATATAGGTTCAATACAAATATATTTACTTGGAGAACAGGCACCACAATGTCCACTCACACAGCAACCTTTGGTGGATGTATAACAATCATTGGAGGTAGAGCATGTGTCCACGTTGAAAGTAGGAAGTGAGAAATGGAAACAAGGCACACTCGACTCTTGGCATTTGTTGTCCTTGCAGCAATCACTATCACAGTCCGAGTTTGTAGTGCACTTGTTCTTGTCAATACACTGGTAGCTCCACTTCGTTTTACATTTGAAATCGATGCAACAGCCACCCGAGCAGTCCTGGTCAACAAAGCATCGCCTTTCATATTTACTTTTCTCTTTTATCAGCGTACATAGTATTTTATTAGTCGTGCAGCTGCTTTGAAAACAACATCCTTTTCCACATTCCTCCGACATTGAACATTTTTGTTGTGATTGAGACTCAACAAAAACGATCAACGATGTGACAAAAACTGATATGATCAACCCCAAATTACTCATAGTTTTTGTGTGAAAAAACTTACGGAGAGAATATTATGTTGATTCAGCCACGTCACGGGTCCTTCCCACACTGTTTGATGGTCTATTTCCTTGTTGATTATAAGTTCATCGGTATTGCCTTTGGAATGTATTTTATTCAAGTGTTGTTTAATCATAATACTGTTTCTCTATATTTGTTTGAACCCCGTTGAGACAATTTCAAAAGAAAAGAGATGTGATATTGGTTCCCACAGTTTAGGATTTGTCTTTCTGTTCTGAGACCTTTGATGAAAACATGAATTGTTTACTTTATTATAGCTGTTCTTATGCTTTTCCAAAACCATCATGGATTTTATTTAAGTTGAAACATAGTTGAAACACTCCTCAAAAGTTCAAACCTTTACTTTGTTAATCTAGAGATCGAAATGTCCCCGTAATAATTCGTGACTGCCAACTATAATCTTCCTTTGAACGGAGCTTAAAGGCACAGTTCAGCCTGTTGAACGATGGTTTTTAAGGCGCAATTCAGCTCTTTTAATTGAAAAAACTAACTAGGAAAATCAATTAAGCATAATTCAAGATCACCAAACTCAATGTTTTTAACATTTTAAAACATTTTTATTGTTAAAAACATCGAGTTTACTGATTTTGAATTATACTTAATTGATTTTCCTAGTTAGTTTTTTCAATTAAAAGGGCTGAAATGCGCCTTAAAAACCATCGTTCAAAAGGCTGAACTGTGCCTTTAACTAATTGTATACAGTCTCTTGAGTCGCTATAATAAACAGTTTTTGTCATTTCTTGATATTAACAACGATACACAATCGAACTAAAGAACACTGATGCTTGTGAAACAAGGCTATCACAAAACATGCATCATTTTAGGAACTTGTTTTTAGACGTTTCTTGTCAAGTAACACGTTATAAACCATGGCGATTAATATCATTATATGCATGAGCAAAAATTTTAATTGATCTATAACGTTAACACTTAAAATACACGTGACAGGAAATTCTTGATGTTAAAAGAAAATATATTCTTGAAATAACTTTTGAACATAACAGGAAATTATTAATGTGAAACTATAGAATAACATTAGGGCAAATAAAAAAAAAAAATGGTTAGCGTCACCGCCCGCCTCTCGATTTCTGCAGCCTCTGAATTTTTTTTTAAATTTTTTTATGTAGATCTCTTCGTTTTACAGCTTAAAGCAGTTTAATATTTGAATTTTTTCTCATGCCCAGACCTTCGCGCTATATACTGATCGATAGGAGCGCGTGGTCTTGGATATACAAGGTTCTTATATCAAAATGGCGCCCTTCGCAACATCAGTACAAAAAATATCACCGATATGGTGGAAAAACCGCCCCCATCGCCCCAAAAAATACTTTTAAAAAATTAAAAACGAGTAAAGAATTAAAAAAAAACGCCTTTCCGCCTTTGAAAATTTGTGAGAGTGTGACGCTAACCAAGTATTTTTTTTTAATTGGCCTTATCTAAAACTAATTATGAGCGGGAACAAGTTCGAAACAAGAAAAAGCAAGACTACAAATAATTTCAAATATTCTAGTATAATAATCATGCAATAATCGTTTTGAAGAAAGAATTTGATAGCCTTACTTCTTAGCTATTTATTGGAAACATCGCATATAGAAATAGAAACAAGAACTTAATACAATCTATTAGAGTTCCTACATAACTATTAATAATAAAGAATTCTTTAGAAAGTCTACTGATATCAACTGTGTGTGTATATGCATGCATGTCACATGATGTCACTGATTCATCACTATTGTATCTACTTAAGCCACACTTTACTGATCTAAATAAGAAAGGGTCCATTGTGTTTCCCTGTGGATCACCATTGATTTTAACTTTATTTAAGAGGCTTACATAGAACAGCTAAAAGCTGACTAACCAGTGTGCCTCCCTACATTAAAACTAAGATCAAATTACACAGAACAAGGATAGAAGTGTTTAAGCTACAGTCCTAAAATTGAAAGCTAAGAATAGTCCTACATATCTTTAAAATATATAATAGACTTTCATAGCTGTCTTGATATAGATCTTTAAACTCAGCTGGGAGACTGTTCCAAAATTTAATTGTTGAAACTGTAAAAGATTTTCCGTACGACTGATCACAATTGGTACTTCCTAAAATAAACGGTCGCATTGTGGAGCTATGTGGTACACACGTAAAAACGCAGAAGTTGTTACAGGTTTGCAAACAAGTTGTTACAAATCTGTTCACAAGCTGTCGCAGTCTGTTCGCACTGCTTGTTTCCAGTTGTTGTGACAAGTTTGGAACAAGCTGTTAACAACTTGTAACAAGTTTGATGGCATTATCAGACTTGTTACAAAGTTGTTCTGACAAGTCTGATGCAATCATGATATAACAAGAATGTTACAAGGTTGTAACAATATTGTTATAACTTTATATTGAACTTATATTATGACTGTATCGGACTTGTTGGAACAACCTTTCAACAAATCTGATAATATGAACAAGATTGTTATAACTGTTAACAAGTTGTTCCACACCTGTTGACAACTTGGAACAAGCAGTACGAACACAACTTGTTAACGGCTTGTTTGTGAGATTTTTGCGTGTGTACACCATTCATTTTGGGTTTAGTCTTCTTGAGCTGAATTGTTGTTCTTGCTTGACTTGACTGCAGGACGTGGGGAATAGGCGGGTGGTGGTCCCATTGTGGGGCCTTGTTGCACACTTTCTCTTGTATTGACATTTTCTTCTCCTTGTGTTTGGTTAATTCAAACTGTGTTGCTATAATTGCTAGCTGATGAAAACCTGTCGTGTCTAGTAGACTGAAACCGGATTACTCTTCCATGTGCTACTGAAGTAAATTGCATATTGTTGGAACTTGAACCATACGTAATGGTGAAAAGCAATACACTTAACCACTGTGTACCAATACCCTTTAGCCGTACTTACACTGCGAGCCTTGGTCTAGTCTGAGCCTAGCCTTTGGTCGAAAGTTTTGCTGTGGATACTAGCTTTGGCCCAGTACAGTATAGGCCTGACCTATAGTAGGCCACGATATCTTGGCCTACTGCGATCGTTGTCCTCGACCTGGCCTAAACCAATACTTGTGGTAAACAGTGTAAATGTGACACAGTTACTTTGGCTTGGCTCAGACAAGGCCAAGACTCGCAGTGGATACACAGCTTTGAACTACCACAAACATTTCATGATATAAGTGGTCAGTCAATATAGAAGTATATTTACTTTGAGTACAAATACGACAATATCCGTCCACACAGCAACCCTTGTCAGTTGAAAAACAATCATTGGAAGTAGAGCATGTGTCCAAAATATCTTTCACGTTGAAAGTAGGAAGTGAGAAATGGAAACAAGATCCACTATCACAGTCCGAGTTTGTAGTGCATTCGTTTATTTGTTTCTTTCTACACTGGTAGCTTGTCTTTGGTTTACATCTGAAACCGATACAACAGCCATCTGCACATTCCGAGTCATCATATATGCATTGATCACTGCATTCATATTAAAAGCCGTCTCCTTTGCATGTTGCGTTAACGCAACAACCTTCCCAACAGTCTTCCGATCTTAAACATCTTTCTTGACACTTGACAAAAACGATGAATGGCGCGACCACAACCAATATAATCAACCCCGCATTAGTCATGGTTAATTCCTATAACACAAGAACAAATTCCCAGTTTCTTTATGTGAAAAAGATTGGTAATTTACCACGAAAATATTATGTTTTTAAGCAAACTCAAGAACCCTTCGCACTGTTTGACTGTCGACTTCCTGTTTATCGGCATTGCCTTTGAAATGTATATTTTATTCAAATGATGTTTCATCACGATATTGCTTGTCTGTTTTTGTTTGAACCCCGTCGCGACAATTTCAAAAGAAAAAATATTACATTGAGTCCAATAGTTTTGAATTGGTGCCTATTTGTCTCCCAGTTTCAGGCACCTTACTGGAACTTTTCATTAGGATTGTGTTTGGTACTGTTGCATGTTCTTGGATGTAGCTCCTTGGCAGGGCCCCTACTTAATATAATTCGAAGGGTGTCTCAGAATTACCCTGCGAAAAGCGATGATGCCCTGCAGCGATTTTTTATTTCTGAGACCATATTTTTCCTCAAAATGTTTGCGAAATCTTGGCCAAAAGGATTTCCCCCGAAAAGATGGTGAATCCAGATGCTTGCTTTGCCAATCTAGATGATTCGGGTTTCCCTGGAGGGGGGGGGGGGCTGTTACACACCCACTCCTTGGGGTCACCACCAACTTACATGAAAAGGTTATGCGACAACAACGAAAACTAAACAATACGTTTTCTAGAATCACAAACACTTTTTTGTAGATCAAGCCAATCACAAAACATGGTCATTTTAGGAACTTGGTACAGTCGAAATCCTATAAACAGACACCTCTCTTAAGCGGACACCCATTTAGAACAGACACAGATATCTGATCCCAATTTTAATAAAGCAATATTATTTAACCCCTATTACAATAAACACTTCCTTTAAGCAGACACATTTGTGAAGCAGAACACAAGGGTTTATCTGTATTTAGCGCTTCCTGGTCAACTGGCAAGTTTTAAACTATGACCATAATATTTTCAACAACGGTATCCTTTACAAATCTACAAACAAAAGCCAATGAACACATCACAGAAAATTTTTAGTGTTATAAGAAGATAAAAGACATTGTAAAAACTAACTAATATCTACTTGTCTATGCATATGCTTTTAATGAAAAAGTTCAAGTCCCAGCTTTTTACAAGGATTAGAACTTTCTAAGCTACCCTTTACTGTAACTAAATAAGAAAGAGGCCCATTGTCATCCCTTGTGGAACACCATTGGCTTCTTCGGTATTACTGGTAACCACTCGTTTTTGGCTCTGGTTGGGCTGAATTTTGCCCTGTGATATTCTCGTTTGGGTTGGCTGCAGGACGTGGCGAATATGCGGGTGGAGGTACCATTGCGGAGCCTTGAGGTACACCATTCATTTCTTCAACATTACCAGTCATGCCTCCCATTTGGATTAGATCTGTTTGAGTCGTATTCTCGTTTGGATTGGCTGCAGGACTTGAGGAATATGCGGGTGGAGCCATTGGAGAGCCTTGATGTACACCATAACCTTCACTTGTGTTGGCTTGTCCCTGTTCTTCGGTTTGGTCTTGATTTTGGCCAGTATTTCGGGTGTCAATTTCACCAGGTTCAGCTGTTGGAGAATATGGAGGTGGTGGGCAGTCTGGGATTTCTTGCTCTGCGCGTTCCTGTTCACGCTGAAGCTCATCGTTCTCCACGATTGGCACGCTCACCTCGACGCAGGCAACTCGTCGTGTACGCACAACGAGCACGCGCTGACGACGTGCTCGTGAATAACAGAATGCAATTTTCAAAATCACCAAAACGGTGAAAATCACAGCACCTATACCGATACTGGCGCCTGTCCCCGCGCCACTGCTAGAGCTGCTAGAGCTGCTAGAGCTTCCACTATTGCCATTATCATTGTAATTGTTGGGAATATCTGAAATTTAGAAAAAAATTAGTGGAAGCATTAAACTAAACTAGTCTACAAGGGGATCCAGGTGTTTCTGTGGAACGAGAATACACTGGTGCACAGACGGACCCCCCTCCCCTCAACACCCCTAGAAAATCAGTCTATGCACTGGTGGGAGGATGTTGGTATGGTTTGTGGGGCGTAGACCTGGTTATAACCGAAAAAACAAATTAGACCGAATTGAGTAACTTTGACACACAATACATGCGGTAATCCAATTAAAGTTTTTCTTTCAAATCAACTCTCAAAATTAATTGTCAAACCTCGACCTCTAAGCGCGAAATGCACCATGGACATTTATACAGGATGTATGTGTAATTCAGTATCTAAGCTAAACCAAACCTAAGCAAATTATAAATTAAAACTAGTTCAAACTTGTTGCTACACCTATGGTGTTTAGTAGACTGAAACATCTCTTATTCGACTGAGGTAATTAAATTGCATAGTATTGGGATTGAAGCCAAATCGTCGTGGGGAAGGCGATGCACTAACTACTGTGCTTGAGCCTTGGTCTTGCCTTATTTTTGCTGTGCTGACAAACTGGGTTAGCCTAAGACAGAAAATCTGGGCTACCACTATCGTTGTTCTAGGCCTGGCCTGAGCCAAGACTCGAGGCAATGCAAACAGTCATGTGAACGTGTCACAATTGCCTCGACTTAGGCATGGCCAGGAGTCACAGGGGAAGCATGGCTTTTGACTAGCATAAAGTAACAATATAAATATAGGTTCAATAGAAATATATTTACTTCGAGAACAGGCACCACAATGTCCGTTCACACAGCAACCTTTGGTGGATATATAACAATCACTAGAGGTAGAGCATTTGTCCAAAATATCTTTCACGTTGAAAGTAGGAAATGATAAATGGAAGCAAGGTACACTCGACTCTTGGCATTTGTTGTCCTTGCAGCAATCACTATTACAGTCCGAGTTTATAGTGCACTTGTTCTTGTCAATACACTGGTGGCTCCACTTTGTTTTACATTTTAAATCGATGCAACAGCCATCTGTGCATTCCCAATCACCAAAGCAAACATCGCATCCACCTAGCATATCTAGTACACATTTCCCATCAAGGCAACACATATCTTTCCCACATTCTTCCGATGTTGAACATTTTTGTTGAGACTCGACAAAAACGATTAACGATGCGACAAAAACTAATATAATCAACCCCAAATTACTCATAGTTGATTACACACACAACGTAAAATTTCTAGTTTTTGTGTGTGAGAAAGCTTACGGAGAGAATATTATGTTGATTCAGCCACGTCACGGGTCCTTCCCACACTGTTTGATGGTCTATTTCCTTGTTGATTATAAATTCATCGGTATTGCCTTTGGAATGTATTTTATTCAAATGTTGTTTAATCATAATACTGTTTCTATATATTTGTTTGAACCCCGTTGAGACAATTTCAAAAGAAAATAGATGTGATATTGGTTCCCACAGTTTAGGATTTGTCTTCCTGTTCTGAGACCTTTGATGAAAGCATGGATTGTTTACTTTATTATAGCTGTTCTTATGCTTTTCCAAAACCATCATGGATTTTATTTAAGTTGAAACATAGTTGAAACACTCCTCAAAAGTTCAAACCTTTACTTTGTTAATCTAGAGCTCGAAATGTCCCCGTAATAATTCGTGACTGCCAACTATAATCTTCCTTTGAACGGAGCTTAACTAATTGTATACAGTCTCTTGGGTCGCTATAATAAACAGTTTTTGTCATTTGTTGATATTAACGATACACAATCGAACTAAAGAACACTGATGCTTGTGAAACAAGGCTATCACAAAACATGCATCATTTTAGGAACTTGTTTTTAGACGTTTCTTGTCAAGTAACACGTTATAAACCATGGCCATTAATATCATTATATGCATGAGCAAAAATTTTAATTGATCTATAACGTTAACACTTAAAATACACGTGACAGGAAATTCTTGATGTTAAAAGAAAATATATTCTTGAAACAACCTTTGAACATAACAGGAAATTATTAATGTGAAACTATAGAATAACATTAGGCCAAATAAAAAAAAAATGGTTAGCGTCACCGCCCGCCTCTCGATTTCTGCAGCCTCTGAATTTTTTTTAAAATTTTTTTATGTAGATCTCTTCGTTTTACAGCTTAAAGCAGTTTAATATTTGAATTTTTTCTCATGCCCAGACCTTCGCGCTATATACTGATCGATAGGAGCGCGTGGTCTTGGATATACAAGGTTCTTATATCAAAATGGCGCCCTTCGCAACATCAGTACAAAAAATATCACCGATATGGTGGAAAAACCGCCCCCATCGCCCCCAAAAATACTTTTAAAAAATTAAAAACGAGTAAAAAATTTTAAAAAACGCCTTCCCGCCTCTGAAAATTTGTGAGAGTGTGACGCTAACCAAGTATTTTTTTTATTTGGCCTTATCTAAAACTAATTATGAGCGGGAAAAATTAAAATGATTTAAGTTCGAAACAAGAAAAAGCAAGACTACAAATAATTTCAAATATTCTAGTATAATAATCATGCAATAATCGTTTTGAAGAAAGGATTTGATAGCCTTACTCCTTAGCTATTTATTGGAAACATCGCATATAGAAATAGAAACAAGAACTTAATACAATCTATTAAAGAACCTGCATAACTATGAATAATAAAGAAATTCTTTAGAAAGTCTACAGATATCAACTGTGTATGCATGCTTGTCACATGATGTCTCACTGATTCATCGCGACCATAGATATAGGAGATCTAGATTGCTAACGCATACCTAGCGCAGGCGGGGCCTACATGATAAATCCAAGATGGCGGTACAACAGGGCAAAAAGACTATAGATTCTATTACGAAAAGCAGGATTTTTGCATTTTTTGCCGTCGCATTGTTTCGAAACTTATTCGGTCAAATTTTATGGTAAAGAGAAACTTACCGCGAAGATTTTGAGCATATATATGATTGAATTGGATGAAAAATCGCAAAATTATCCAGCGATAAAAGTTCGTGTGAAATGGTCAGTTGGTCATTTGGAGCGTTTTGTTGCCCGAAATACTGTGCTATGTTAACATCTAGCATTGTGAATGATGTTTTATATTTGCATCTCTCATCATCATCTGTTCTGTCCTCATAATTATGAAAAATGAACTGTTATGTACCCCCCCCCCCCTCCTTGCTTGTTAGAGAAGTAAACTGGTGAGAGCACTGGATGAGGGTCTATCATCTATGGTCTGTTATAATTTGCTTTTTATGCAAATAGTGAGCAAAAATTAAAGCAAAACTGTACAAGTTACATAATATATAGTACTATATCAGTACTATACACGAACTTTTATCGATGGATAATTTCGCGAGTTTTCATCCAATTCAATCATATATATGCTCAAAATCTTCGCGGTAAGTTTCTCTTTACCATAAAACTTGACCGAATAAGTTTCGAAACAATGCGACGGCAAAAATGCAAAAATCCTGATTTTCGTAATAGAATCTATAGTCTTTTTGCCCTGTTGTACCGCCATCTTGGATTTATCATGTAGGCCCCGCCTGCGCTAGGTATGCGTTAGCAATCTAGATCTCCTATATCTATGATCGCGACTATTATCTACTTAAGCGACAATTTACTGATCTAAATAATAAAGGGTCCCATTGTGTTTCCCTGTGGATCACCATTGATTTTAACTTTATTTAACGAGGTTTACATAGAACAGCTAAAAGCTGACAAACCAGTGTGCCTCCCTACATTAAAACTAAGATCAAATTACACAGAACAAGGATAAAAGTATTAAAGCTACAGTCCTAAAATTAAAAGCTAAGAACAGTCCTACATATCTTTAAAATATATAATAGACTTTCATAGCTGTCAAGGTCTTGATATAGATCTTTAAAATCAGCTGGGAGACTGTTCCAAAATTTAATTGTTGAAACTGTAAAAGATCTCCCTCCCTCACGACTGATCACAGTTGGTACTTCCTAGGATAAACGGTCGCATTGTGGAACTATGTGGTACACACGTAAAAACGCAGAAGTTTGTTACAGGTTTGCAACTATATCATGTCTGTATCGGACTTGTTGGAACAACCTTGCTACAAATCTGATAATATCAACAGGATTGTTATAACTGTTAAAGTGTCTATGACATGAAATTTCTTATTTTCTTAAATGAAAGAACTCTTTAAGCTGTAGTGTAACTTATTTTTCAGTTTCTTGTTTTTATGGTTTGTTCCCGACATATTTCAATTTGTTTGATATGTAAATAAGTGTGAATATGTCCGCTAATTTATTACGTCATGTTGGTTGCAAGCTCTTCAAAATGGTTGAATATCACTGCTATCATCCAAGATGATAATTTCAAACTTCACTCACTGGTAAATGTGATGAAACACTGAAGAAAAACGTGAACAGATGTCTACAGTTTGTAGAGTTAATAGATTTATAACCAGTGTAAATTGAGCTTGCAACCAACGTGACGTCATAAATTAGCGGACATATTCACACTCATTTACATATCAAACAAATTGAAATATCTCGGGAACAAACCATAAAAAAAGAAACTGAAAAATAAGTCACACTACAGCTTAAAGAGTTCTTTCGTTTAAGAAAATAAGAAATTTCATGTCATATGCACTTTAACAAGTTGTTCCACACCTGTTGACAACTTGGGACAAGCAGTACGAAGACAACTTGTTAACAGCTTGTTTGTGAGATTTTTGTCTGTGTACACCATTCATTTTTGGGTTTAGTCTTCTTGAGCTGAATTGTTATTCTTGCTTGATTTGGCTGCAGGACGTGGGGAATAGGCGGGTGGTGGTCCCATTGTGGGTCCTTGTTGCACACCCTCTCTTGTACTGACATTTTCTTCTCCTTGGGTTTGGTCTGGATTTTGGCCAGAATTTTGGGTGTATTCGTCACAAGGTACTCTTGGAGAATATGTGGGCGGGGGGCAGTCTGGGATTCCCTGCACTGCACGTTCGTGTTCACGTGGAAACTCACTTGAGTGAACTTGTCTATACTCGACCACGTCCTTACGGCGTGCAGACCACCTTAGATACCAACACGTCCAGCATGCGAGTTTTATTAAAACCACAATGGCAATGGCAAGGATTACAAGACGTAGACCACCATAGCCGGCCGTACGCTTACCACTGCTAGGACTTCCACTATGGTGATTATCATTGTAATCGTAAGGAGAATCTGAAATTTAGAAAAAAATAAGTGGATGCATCAAACTAAACGAAACTCTAAGGGTGATCCAAGTTAGCTGATGTTACAGGTATTTCTGGGGAGCGAAAAGTTTGAAAGTGGGAGGGGTGATGGAGGGTTTGTTACGAGGAAGGTTCTTGATTATGACCTATACCCAACTCAAAATCAAATGTACCAAATTAGACCGAACTAGGAAAATGTATAACATCGGAGCATACTGACTGAAAACAAAATTAAACTAAATTGTACCAAATTAAGCTAAACCGAACTTAACCAAATATAGCTAACCCGTGAGTTAACGAAGACTACTTAGCTAAACCAAATTAAACCTAACCAAATAATAAATTAAAGTTAATTCAAACTGATGTAGTGTTGCTATAATTGCTCGCTGATGAAAATCTGTCGGGTCTAGTAGACTGAAACCGGATTACTCTTCTCATACGCGACTGAAGTAAATTGCATATTGTTGGAACTTAAACCATACTGTAATGGTGAAAAGCTTTCCACTAACCACTGTGTACCAATACCCTTTAACCGTACTTACACTGCGAGCATTGGTCTAGCCTGAGCCTAGCGTTTGGTCCAACGTTTTGCTGTGCATACTAGCTTTGGCCTAGTACAGTATAGGCCTGACCTAGTAGGCCACGATATCTTGGCCTACTGCGATCGTTGTCCTCGACCTGGCCTAAACCAATACTTGTGGTAAAGTAAACAGTGTAAACGTGTCACAGTTACTTTGGCTTGGCTCGGCTCAGACAAGGCCAAGACTCGCAGTGGAAACATAGCTTTGAACTACCACAAACGTTTCATGATATAAAACTAGGTCAGTCAATATAGAAATATATTTACTTTGAGTACAGTGACGACAATGTCCATCCACACAGCAACCCTTGCCAGTTGAAAAACAATCATTGGAAGTAGAGCATGCGTCCAAAATATCTTCCACGTTGATAGTAGGAAGTGAGAAATGGAAACAAGACACACTTGACTCTTGGCATTTGTTGTCCTTGCAGCAACCACTATCACAGTCCGCGTTTTCAGTGCATTCGTTCATTCGTTTATTTGTACACTGGTAGCTTGTCTTTGGTTTACATGTGAAACCGATACAACAGCCTTCTATACAGTCTGAATCATCAAAGAAGCATTGATTATCACTGCATTCATAATAAAAGCCGTCTCCTTTGCATGTTCCGTTACGCAACAACTGTCCTCACAGTCTTGCGATCGTAAACATCTTTCTTGACACTTGACAAAAACGATGAATGGCGCGACAAAACCCAATATAATCAATTCCACATTAGTCATTGTTGATTCCTATAACACAAGAACAAATTCCCAGTTTCTTTATGTGAAAAAGATTGGCGATTTACCAAGAAAATAGTATGTTTTTTTAAGCAAACTCAAGAACCCTTCGCACTGTTTGACTGTCGACTTCCTTGTTTATCGGCATTGCCTTTGCAATGTATATTTTTTCAAATGATGTTTCATCACGATATTGCTTGTCTGTTTTTGTTTGAACCCCGTCGAGACAATTTCAAAAGAAAAAATATTACATTGGCTCCAGCACTTTTGAATTGTTGCCGATTTGTCTCCCAGTTTTAGACATCTTACTGGAACTTTTTATTAGTATTGTGTTTGGTACTATTACATGTTCTTGGATATAGCTCCTTGGGGTCACCACCAACTTGCATGAAAAGTTTATGCGACAACAACGAAACACGATAAAATTAAAAGAATACGTTTTCTAGAGTCACAAACACTTTTTTGTAGATCAAGCCATGAAGCCAATCACAAAACATGGTCATTTTAGGAACTTGGTACAGTCGAACTCCTATAAACAGACACCTCTCTTAAGCGGACACCCATTTAAAACAGACACAGATATCTCATCCCAATATTAATAAAGCAATATTATTTAACCCCTATTACAATAAATAAACAGACACCTCCTTTAAGCGGACACATTTGTGAAGCGGAACACAATGATTTATCTGTATTTACCGGTTTCTATTCAACTGACAAGTTTTAAACTATGACCATAATATTTTGAACAACGGTATCGTCTACAAATCTACAAACAAAAGCCAATGAACACATCACAGAAAATTGTTAATGTTATAAGAAGAGAAAATACATTGTAAAAACTAACTAATGTTTACTTGTCTATGCATATACATTTAATGAAAAAGTTCAAGTCACAGCTTTTTACAAGTGTTAGAACTTTCTAAGCTACCCTTTACTGTAGAAAAAAAGAACGGGGCCCATTGTCGTGCCTTGTGGAACACCATTGGCTTCTTCGGTATTACTGGTAACCACTCGTCTTTGGGTCTAGTTGGGCTGAATGTTTTCTTGTGGTATTCTCGTTTGGGTTGGCTGCAGGACGTGGGGGATATGCGGATGGAGGTACCATTGCGGAGCCTTGAGGTACACCATTCATTTCTTCAACATTGCCAGTCATGCCTCCCACTTGGATTATATTCGGTTGAGTCGTATTCTCGTTTGGATTGGCTGCAGGACTTGAAAAATATGCAGGTGGAGCCGTTGGAGAGACCTGATGTACACCATAACCTTCACTTGTGTTGGCTTGTCCCTCTTCTGTTTGGTCTTGATTTTGGCCAGTATTTCGGGTGTCAACTTCACCAGGTTCAGCTGTTGGAGAATATGGAGGTGGTGGGCAGTCTGGGATTTCTTGCTCTGCACGTTCGTGTTCACGCTGAAGCTCATCGTTCTCCATGATTGGCACGCTTTCCTCGACGCAGGCAACTCGTCGTGTACGCACAACGAGCACGCGCTGACGACGTGCTCGTGAATAACAGAATGCAATTTTCAAAATCACCAATATGATGAAAATCACCACACCTATACCGATACTGGCGCCTGTTCCCGCGCCACCGCTCGAGCTGCTAGAGCTTCCACTATTGCTATTATCATTGTAATCGTTGGGAAAATCTGAAATTTAGAAAAAAATTAGTGGAAGCATTAAACTAAACTTGTCTACAAGGGGATACAGGTGTTTCTGTGGAACGAGAATACACTGGTGCACAGACGGAAACCCCCCTCTCAACACCCCCAGAAAATCCGTCTATGTACTGGTGGGAGGATGTTGGTATGGTTTATTGAGCGTAGACCTGGTTATAACCGACCAAACTAAATTAAAAATTACCAAATTAGACCGAATTGAGTAACTTTGACACACAATACAGGTAATCCAATTAAAGTTTTCCTTTCAAATCAACTCTCAAAATTGTCAAAACTCGACCTCTAAGGGCGAAATGCACCATGAACATTTATACAGGATGTATGTGTAATTCAGTATCTAAGCTAAACCAAACCTAAGCAAATTATAAATTAAAGCTAGTTGAAGTTGTTGCTACACTTATGGTGTTTAGTAGACTGAAACATCTCTCATGCGACTGAGGTAACTAAATTGCACATGGATTGAAGCCAAATCGTCGTTGGTAAAGTCAATGCAATAATTACTGTGCTTTAGCCTTGATCTGGCCCTATTTTTGCTGTGCTGACAGTGTAGGCTTTTAACTATAGCATAAAGTAACAATATAAATATAGGTTCAATAGAAATATATTTACTTCGAGAACAGGCACCACAATGTCCGTTCACACAGCAACCTTTGGTGGATATATAACAATCACTAGAGGTAGAGCATTTGTCCAAAATATCTTTCACGTTGAAAGTAGGAAGTGATAAATGGAAGCAAGTAGTGCCGTCGCGAGGAACTCGGGGGGGGGTTTGGTTAAAGCTATCTGAAAGTATCAAAATTTCAAATTTTACCTGAAAAATGGGGACGGCAAGACACACTCGACTCTTGGCATTTGTTGTCCTTGCAGCAATCACTATCACAGTCCGAGTTTGTAGTGCACGTATTCTTGTCAATACACTGGTAGCTCCACTTCGTTTTACATTTGAAATCGATGCAACAGCCACTCGAGCAGTCCTGATCAACAAAGCATCGTCTTTCATATTTACTTTTCTCTTTTATCAGCATACATAGTATTTTATTAGTGGTGCAACTGCTTTGATAACAACATCCTTTCCCACATTCTTCTGACATTAAACATTTTTGTCGAGACTCGACAAAAACGATTAACGATGTGACAACAACTAATATAATCAACCCTAAATTACTCATAGTTGATTACACACACAAAGCAAAATTTCTAGTTTTTGTGTGCGTGTGAAAAAACTTACGGAGAGAATGTTATGTTGGTTTAGCAAAGTCACGAGTTCTTCCCACACTGTTTGATTGTCTATTTCCTTGTTGGTTATAAATTTATCGGTATTGCCTTTGGAATGTATTTTATTGAAGTCTCTATATTTGTTTGAACCCCGTCGAGACAATTTCAAAAGAAAAAAGATGTGACATTGGTTCCCATAGTTTTGGATTTGTCTTTCTTTTCTGAGACTTTGATGAAAGTTAGCAGTCAAACAACCTTGGTGAGCTGTTCTCATGTTTTCCCAACATGTTAGGAACTTGTTTTTAGCCGTTTCTTGTTAAGTAACAGTTATAAACCATGGCCATTAATATCGTCATATGCATGAGCAAAAATTTTAATTGATTTATAACGTTAACACTTAAAATACACATGACAGGAAATTCTTGATGTTAAAAGAAAATATATTCTTGAAACAACCTTTGAACATAACAGGAAATCATTAATGTGAAACTATAGAATAACATTATCTAAAACTAACTATGAACTAGAAAAATTAAAATGATTTAAGTTCGAAACAAAAAAAAAGCAAGACTACAAATAATTTCAAATATTCTAGTATAATAATCATGCAATAATCTTTTTGAAGAAAGGATTTAATATCCTTACTCTTAGCTATGTATTGGAAATATCACATATAGAAATAGAAATAAGAACTTAATACAATCTATTAAAGATCCTACATAACTATGAATAACAAAGAAATTCTTTAGAAAGTCTACTGATATCAACTGTGTGTGTATATGCATGCATGTCACATGATGTCACACTGATTCACTATTGTATCTACTTAAGCCACACTTTACTGATCTAAATAATAAAGGGCCCCATTGTGTTTCCCTGTGGATCACCATTGATTTCTTCGGTATTACCAGTAAGCTGTCCTCTTTGATCTGTTTGGACTGAATTTTGTCCTGTGGTATTTTCAGATAGGTTGACTAGAGGGTAAGGCGAAGGGATAGATGGGGGTATTATTGTGTTTCCCTGTGGTACACCATTCATTTCTTCGGTGTTACCAGCAGTGACCCCTGCTCGTTGGGTTTGGTCTGTTTGAACTGAACTGTTCTCGTTTGGGTTGGTTGCACGATTTGGGGAATACGCGGGTGGAGGTACCATTGTGGAGCCTTGTGGTACACCATTTATTTCTTCAGTATTACCATTGTCTCCTGCTGTTTGGGTTTGGTCTGTTTGGACTGAATTGGTATTCTCGTTTTGGTTGGTAGCAGAATATTCCGGAGGTGGTCCTACCGGAAGGCTTGATGTGTTGCTCTCAAAGGGTCGCGGACTGTATGCAGGCGGTGGGCGGTCTGGGATTCCTTGCGCGGCACGTTCGTGTTCACGTTGAAGCTCATCGTTCTCCACTATTGGCACGGCAACGCACGTAATGCGTCTACGCACGATGATCACTCCTCGCTGACGGCGTGCACGCCACGATGCCCATAGTGCAAGTTTCAAGATGATGAGAAAGAGAACCCCAACAGCTACACCAATACTACCGCCCACACTCAGGCCACCGCTTGAGCTGCTAGACCTTCCATCATTATAGTCATAATCATCATTGTAATCGGGATAACGGTGATAACCTGAAATTTAAGAAGAAAAAAAGTGGAAGCATCAAACCAAATGCAACTAAACTACACAGGGGATCCCGGTGGTACATTGGAAAGAGGGGGTACAGGAACAGTGGGGGACACTTCGCAAAATAGTGGGGGCGGATTACATTAACCAACATATCTCAAACTTATTAATAATTTATGAGTAAATTAGCCAACCATATTTGCCCACATGATAGAGAGTTAAGCCCTGGGCAAACTAGGAAACATTGTTGTGGAAACATTTGTGATTCTCGATGTTTCCTCAAATGTTTCTCTGTTTGCCCACCCGTGGAAACATTGTTGCGGAAACAAAATTTGCTTCCCGAGAAGCAAAAATGTTTCCTAGCAAATTCAGAAACACTTGATGTTTCCCTATGTTTCTCACTAATGTTTCCTAGTGTTTGCCCACTCTTGGAAACATGGCGAAACATTGGCAGGAAACAATATTTCCGCAACAATGTTTTCTAGTTTGCCCAAGGCTTTACAAGTACCTCAAAAATAAAAACTTCGAAGTAGCGAAGACCCTCCGAAGGCGAAGCGATGTTTCGCGAAGGGGTTCCGACGAAGGTCATAAAGAGCCTTCGCTTGAAACGTCGAAAATTCTGTTTATATTTTTTAAGTAGTTGTATCTCTCTCACACAGTCACACCGCAGCCCTAAACTTTAGTAAACTTTAATTCAGGTTAACAATATCTAAAGCAAATTAGGTTCAACAAAACTAAACCGACCAAGTTCAAAATGGTCTATCGTGTTTCTACACGAGGAAACTGGAGAAGCCAGAAAAAACCTTCGGTGTTTGGTTGAGTCGAACTTTGGCGGCGCTTAGTCAAACTGCAAGCAGTCTAATTCTAATATGCGACTGAAATATAATAAAATAACTGAACTGAGTATTGCCTGAATCGAAGCCTAATCATGAAAGCCACATGCACCAAATGTGAAGTAAAACGAGCAACAAAATTGCAGCAACTCGCAACAGAAAACTGATTTCAATGCATGTACGAATGTTGTCTCATGTTTCGTTATTTATGTGTGAACATTTTCAATTAACATGCATTGAAATCGTATTACTCCACTTTAACCGCAATGTACTAACACTCCCACTTACTGCCAGCTAACATATTCTTTTAACATACAAAGTGTGAAAATAAAATTGATTTACTTCGAGCAGTTGTAGTTTGCCACCAGCGATAGTAGGATGTAGTTGGACAGGCTTGACACTGTCCATATACACAGCATTGATAACTGTAATAGCCGTTGTACTGGTTGTAGGAATAACAATCACTGCTTGAATAGCAATATTTGCCGGACGTCATTGTCGTGAACGCTGCGGTAGTAGGATTTGAACAAGCCCCATATATCTCTTGGCATTTGTAGTCTTCACAACAAAGGCTACCTGCACATTCCCAATTGCTATAACATGAATTATGACATTGAGACTTCGTATCTTGGCATTTGTTATTCTTACAACAACGGCTGTCACACTCCGAGTTGAAAGTACAGGACTTCTTCTTGTTAACACACTGCCAGCTTATCTTCGAGTGGCATGTTGAGTCGACGCAACAGCCGTATGTACATTGCCAATCAGCGTGACAACTGGCACGTTCACTTTGCGTACCAGAGCAATCTTCACTATTATATTCTTTACATGTTCCAGAGATACAACACTGTAATTTACGTATTCTATCCTGCAGGAGACATTTTAAACGATCAGTCGTACAAATTCCATCGTGACAACAGCTGCCTTTGACATCGCAGTCGTCCGACTCTGAACAAGATTGTTGAGACGCCACAAAAACGACTTCTGATGAGACAAAGACCAATATAATCAACACCAGTTTACTCATTGTTGATTCCTATAACAAATAAACCAACCACAGTTTCTGAGTCTGAAAATAATGCACAATTTGTGTTTGATACTTTGATAAAAACAACGCAATATGTTCTCAAGAGCCCGTATGTCTTTGCTCGTATCAAACTTCCTTCTTCATTATAAATGCGTGGCCACGTTTGGAATGTATGTTAATGAAAGACTCTTTTTAGCAAAATGCTTACGTGTTGAACCCTGTCGTGGTAACTTCAAGTGAAAAAGTGTAAATTAACTCCCACAGTTTTACCTTTTGTATTGGCTTTTCCTGTTTATCGAATCATACCAAAGATTTATTGGAATTTTTATATTATGACCAACTTTTGTTAATCTATATTTTCATATCTTATAGAGTTTCATATTTCATACAGTTTCACATTTCATATGCAATGTGTACCAAAAATTTGAACATTTTTCACTTTACAGTAAGGAGACCGGAAGCTTTTAAATTATTGTTGTTAAGTACGCGAACGAGAAAATAGTTTGGTCAAATTATATTCGCTATAATTCACACGCAAGATACTGAAATTAAAATAAGCGATAAGTACAGAAATGAAAATAAGCGATCAGCCGATCACAAAGGATCAAGTGTAATTTGACCTATAACAAGGTTATGGCATTTATATAAAAGTTTATAAAAAAAGCAAGAATTCGATTGGTGTCTGTCTCACTCGTCCCCAGTCGTTTACCCAACTCGGGGCATTCCCATGGTCCTTTGCGTTATACTCAATTTTCATCGCATTCCCATGAATCATATTCTGCGCACAGACTGCCCCTTCCCTACATGAATCATTGCACGAATAAGCAATGTTAGGGAGTGTGGAAGAGTCAGGGCCATTGAACTATAAATAGTCTAAATAAACTGGAAGGCTAACTCAGGGGGGGGGGGGGGGG